TTCCAATAGGTACCGCGCCCTTTGTCAGAACACTTCACGCTCGTCGGCAATCAACATGAGTTTTCAATAGAGACTGCGCCCTTTGTCAGACAACGTACTTCACGCAAGATTTGTTAGAAAAGTTGCAATAGCTGTTGATTGATGTAATTTTAGTTTAGGAATTAGGAAAGATAGGAATGATTCAACTGCAGTGAACGTGTTAATAAAAAAAACAATGTTTATAAAAAAAAGACGTGTTAATATGCTGCAACGTTTAACGTTTGAAACAATTGAACGGAGAGCCTTTGAAATTTGTCACGTCATATGTTTATCTCGGTATTCACATTAATGACAGAGTGACGACGACTGTATTCTTACCCAGATAAGAGGTCTGTATAGCTGTGCAAATACTATTAGGCCACACCAAGTAAATTTTATGGATGACGTCCTTTGGAGACCCTAAATCTAATGCGAGAGGGCGAAAAAAACAAGAAGGGCCCTAAAAAACAAGATGCCTAGATTAGAAATATACTAAGAGACGACAAATGTAAGGACACAGATTGAGTGAGATGACACAGTCTAACAAACAAGAAGTCTTTTATTCATCATCAAAACAGCAATAAATCAGGTGGAACAGCAGTTGTCGTCCTGTCCTGTTTTCGCGTTACGGGTATCACGTCAATCTGACGATTTGCGGCACTGTCGTGACTCTTTGGTCGTAGTTACACTTACAGGAAGCGGAATTTCTTGTGTTTTTTTCGAGGAACAGACCAAAATTAATGCGCGCGCGGACGTCATCCATAAAATTTACTTGGTGTGGCCTTATATGCAAATTCGCTTATTGTTCTTCATATGTTAAAAAGACGTTGTTTACAGCTCATTGCTCCCAACTTTTTGCTGCACAGTTATGGGACAGAGCTAGTTCTAAAATTGTATCAAAGTGTCGAGTTGCTTACAATAACTGTCTTCGCATCATAATGTCACTACCCAGATTTTGTAGTGCAAGTGAAATGTTTGTATACAATAGGATTGACACATTTGATGCTACATGGCGTAAACAATTTAATCTTACTCATTCATATCCCGTCTATACAAGTCATCAAACAACATTATCCAATCTGTTCTTAAATCTGAAGTGATATTCCGTAGCAGATTCTTTCGCAATAACTGGGCCCGTCTGTACATATAGTCATATTATTCTTTTACTGATGTAATTGTGTGTGTACTTTATATGTATTTTGTATATGGGCGAGTTATGCCTGAAATAAAGAAATAATATAAGTGAAACGGATTTTATTCTATCGCCGATGGTCCTTAAGCACGGTAGGAAACTGATTCTGAAAAAGAAAATAAGAATGAGATATAATTGCATTTGTCAAGAAAATACATTAGTTTTGCCATGTTTGCTTTTGCCTTGCTTGCTTTCTGAGGTCGAAGTGTCTAGAATTGGGACATACGGCACGTGGCCGAAACGTCCTCCGCATGTGGCCGAAATGTCCATGGGCTGAAATGTCCGACATTCCTAATGTCCGGGTGAGGTCCAGGTGGTGCTCGAAACAATGTGAAAATCTAAACTATCTGTACAAATGTCAAAAAAAAAATACAAGAAACAGTGCTGGCCATCTTAGCATGGTAAATGGTTTGTTGACTCGGATATGGGAAGGCCATGTGTCAGGCCAAACCCATTTTGAACTTCTGTAGGGATGTGGATGTGGCTATGTCTGTAGGTAAATTATTCCAGTGTGGTATGGTGCATGGTGATTGTACTTTGTAGCTGCTGCGGTGTGTGTCTGTTGAACAGTAGAAAGTTTGTAGGCATAGTGGGTGACCTCTTGGTGTTCCTAGTGCCAGTGGTGAGTTTGTGTAATGGAATGGCGACAAGGTTGTTTTGTAAAACAAAACTAGTCATGACTGTTGTCTTCGGGCCTGTAATATGGGCCATCCCAGGTTGTGTTGTACTAGCTGTGTGGCTTGGTGGTGTGTCTATAGCTGTTACAGACTCATCTGGCTGTGTGTCTCTGCACTGACTCAAGTTTGACCTGTAGTGCATGGATTGTGCATGTTGACATTTGAGTGGGTCCCAGACTGGGTCCTGAAATAATTTGAGTCTGACTGTAAATTTCTACCTCCATGGTTTGATATTGAAAAGTGCTCTGACATAATCTGTATTTGCAGAAAATATTTCCAAATTGCAGAACACAATTTTGATCTGCTGCAATATTACAGAACATAGAAAATAGTATTTCTACCACTTATGTACATTCTCTGTTGTCCTTTCCTTTCAGTTGGAGTGTCTGCGACAGTTGATAATGTCAGGTGTGAATAAGGACGTGACAACACAGAGGTTCTGTCAGACACCAGCTCACATCGCTGCCTTCGGGGGTCATCCTCACTGTCTGCTCTGGCTCCTGCAGGCTGGGGCCAACATCAATGCCCAGGTACATTTTGTAGTCAAATCCCAACGGATTTTATTTTGTTGTGGTAACGAGAGCTACCAGTGGTGGTGAACACTTCCTGTAATCAGGGAAAGGACAGTTTACCTAACGTTTGTCGGCTGTTTCAACGCTGTAGAGATGGACCCCAAAATGGCGGACATGAGGTGATGACGTGTGGTGATTAAGCTCTCTCTATATAACTTGCAGGAAGACACTTTTCTTTTCAATGTTGATGTTAGAAAACCAATTGTCCACCATTTCATCACTCAGGTGTCACCATGGAGCTAAAAAAGGTTGATCAGCTTGAAAAATTAAATTTATTTTTGTCCCTTGCACCAAAAAAGGCTAGAGTCTGCAGTTTTTTCTAGGGTCGGTTGGGAAACAGGAAACACATTTTTTTCCTAGGCCTCACTTGTTGAAGTTGGTTTAGGCCCCGTTTATGATTCAAAATGTGTTTCGGTATGGCCACGTTCCGAATTGATACGGAATATATTTTACATCCGTGATTCAAAACTTACACTCATACTGGAAACAATTTCACACCTTGAATAGACTTGCATTTTATATGTATAACACAATTTCTTTGAACACTTCCTGGGAACCAGACTCATAAGGCGGAGAGTTTAGGTGTGTTCTCCCGTTTCCGACTCACGCCCTCCCCATAGGGCCATGTTGATTTGATTATATGGATGACATCCTCTGGGAACCCCAAAACTGATGCGAGCGTGCGAATAAAAAAAAAGTTTGGCAAAAAAAAGTTAGCTTTCATTATGAAAATCTACGTGGTCATGAAGGTTGAACAAATGACATGGGGTGTGGTATGGCGAATAATTTACTCTTCAAATTCATTTCTTTACATTTTCGTCTTTTTCGTTTGATTTTGGCATTTTACGACACTGGTATCGTTTTTAAATATTTTTTGCAACTTACGGTATATATTTGCTAATTTTGCAACTGTTTTGTACGATTTGCAGCATGGTTGAAAACTTTTTTTTTTTTTGGAAACGGACGAAAATTGATGCGCGCGCGGATGTCATCCATATAATCAAATCAACATGGCCTAGGTTGTGCCCCCGACGCAACTGGTTCAAGCCCCCACAGTCTTGGAGTGGCACTGGGCGGCTGTCCTATTGAAGCTGCATTCCACCGTGGCCTTAGCAAATTATGATTTTCTTCAAAACTTCTTGGTTGCGATGCACGCCATCCAGTTTCCTCTGAATCTCCCCAGTTCCCCAAATCTTAATCATTACAAAATACTGCCCACTGGAATGTCTCCTTTGTATAATATTTGGCATGCCAATATGATGATGTTACTAGTCACATCAATATACCACCACTCACCTGGATTATTGGTCTGATACACTTTAGGATTACTTGGGTGAAATGCCTATTCACAAAGCAGCAAGAACTGGAAGTACAGAGTGCACTGGTCTACTACTGGCACATGGTGCAAAACCAAGGTAAGTAAAACAGACTAAAGACAACTATAACAAGTATAACTTACAAGCGATTTGTAGAAAAAATGATCTGAAGAATAATATTACATTACAACAGTGGTTTATTCTCACCTCTCAAATAAACGTACCCACTGGGAAAATTTAGAAATTGACATGTAACAACGTCTATGCTCTAAAAATGTGTTCTCACAATGTATGTGTGCATCTATATGACCCTGTCACTTGCATTTATTTACAGGTCCCAAATAAACATATACCGGGTATCCCCCTTGAATATA